CGCTTGCACAAACTGAATAAAATGGCAGCTGCATTCTCTTTGTTTCGGGGTAAACCTGTTCTTAGAATTTGGTGCTAGTCTTTACTATAGCTGCCTTAGCATCATGGTTGCTAGCGAGAACCGAGAGTATCGTCAAAGCCTCACTGACCATGCAGTTCCTTGAATCCGTGAGCATCGTGGACAATGCAATTATAATTCCGGCTCTGACGGCTCGGCCCTTGTTCCCCTGATAAATGCATAAATTGAATAGAGCAGTCGCGGCATCTTCCTTCCCTCGAGTGCTTCATGTTGTAACAAATCTACCAAAGCCGGTATTGCTCCTGATGAACCGATTATTATTTTGTTCTCATCGGCAAGTGACAAACTAAAAGGGGTAGCTACCGCGTTCTCTCTTGCTTCCGTGCTTCCGGCTCGGAGGACTTGGACGATGGAAGGAACGGCACCGGCAAGCATTATAAGAGACTTGTTATTTTCAAATATTGACAGGTTAGGAATATAAGTTACTGCATGTTCTTGTATTGAAACATCATCTGCTGTTAAGAGGTTGACCAGAACAGGGATCGCTCCTGCATCGGCAATTAGTATCCTGTTATCTGTGTTTCTTTTCGACAGTGATCAGATTTCAGCCACAGCTTCCCTACATTCCGCTAAGCACCGGCTTGACAGATTAGGAACCAGTGCCTGGATGGGTGCCATGTCACCGCTAACATCACGGAAAGACCCGTCACTCTTCTTGAGCCTACTGTTTGCTAATCCGCTTGGCTGCTCAATGTTATGTTTAGCACACCATTGATTTATTAGACTCATGTGGATTCTCTTTAGACCAAAAGTTCTTTTATATGTGTACTTTTTGAGTTGGAGTTCATCTATCGCAGTCAATACAAACTGACTCAGTAATTAGAGTTCTGAAAATTTTTAGGAGGAAGAAAATAGTCGACTGATTCTGTCAATTTTGCAATAGAATTGATTCTACCAGTTAAAACGAAAATGAAACTTATTTAAAGTATTTAAGTGATAAAACAACTTCCACTGCCGGACATCGCTAAGCCAATTAACATTGCAAACGGGATAATTGAATAATACACTAGTACTCATGTTCTTCAAAATAAGGAAAGGAGAAAAAGGAGACGGGACCTTACAGAGGAATTAACGAAATGGTAACCTGAAGCAGCGGACAAAAGACTCTTAGCATCCTGCACAGAAATGGCGAGATCAGCCGACCATGAAGAATCAGAAGAGGAAGAACAGTGATCATGATCGGACTCTCCAGAATCTCTGATTTCCTCGAGCAAATGCGTGAAGAAAGCGATCCTCCTTACCAGATCCGTGCAATCCTTTTTAAACACTCCGGAAGCCACACTCACGGCGAAGATGTCGTGGACAAGGCGGAGCAAGTAGAAGCGTCGGCAACGACTCCGGCGGCCATTTTCGAAAGCCAGGCGTCGGATCCTGCTTAGATCGAAACGGGAAGAGAAAGAAGAAGCCTTCTTTGTTCAATGAAAAGGATTGACGAACATAAGGAACCGCTGAAGCTGCATTTTGAGAAAGGATTAACAATTTAGCACAGAAAGGGAGAGATTCGCGAGGGAAGAAGAGGATACAGTTGGCTTTGGAATATTGTGAATTGTTACACAACCACCACTACTAGCCAATCCCACACTTCCACTGCCACTCTTATATTTATTTGATTAAACTACGAGTTTAGTACCTAAACTATCAATTTTAATCCGTTTTAACACCTAAACTTTTATTTTTTCCAAAATCATATCTAAGGTTTCGTTTCTGTTTCATTTTATTAATCGTAGTTAAAAACTTTACTTTTTGTTTCTTTTTAGTACACGTCCAAAATTTAACGTTAATTTTTTATAATAATTGAAAGTTTATGTACTAAAACGGACCAAAACTATAGTACTAAAAACGTTAAGTTTTTAATGGCATGTACTAAAATAAAATAAAAACTAAACATTATATATGATTTTAAAAAAATTGAAAGTTTAGGTACTAAAACGGATCATAATTGATAGTTTAAGTACTAAATATATAGTTTATCCTATTTATTTTGGGGTAAAGTGCAACATAGATCACTGAAATATATTTGAATGATCATTTTGTCACATTAGACTCTAAAAAGTTACGAAATAATCATTTAATCCATTAAATTATTACAAAATGATCACTATATTATTATAATAAATGTATAAAGTGATCATTTAGTGAGATAACACACTATATTATTTAAACGACCTCTATGATTCAAATCTTAATATTGTTGAAAATATTTCTTTAATAATAAACCTATGTAATACTTGAATTTTTTTTATTAAGCTAATGTAATTACAGAGTATTATCTATTGTAAATACTCTCAATCATTTGAAAATGAACGCTTAATCACCCTGTTGCAGTCATCGGTGCTCGAACTCGTGACCTCTAAGAATAACAACGATTTTTTTAACTACTGAAGTAAGTTGATCCGTGTATGTAGTAGTTGAATTTAAATTAATTAATAAGTAGATTAAATATTGTATAATAGCGTTGTATATAATAATAATAATAATAATAATAATAATAATAATAATATTTTTTCTTTTATGAACTAAACAAGATTAAATAACTTTATATTTGTTTGCAAGAAGACTGTGGTTGCTAGGCTGTACGCTCCATCATTATTGTCACACCTTCGTTTTGTCCACCACCATAACTATGATTAAAATAATATAGAAAAGAAAGTTGAAAATGCCGTACTTTATTTATTTATTTTTACATTTTTGTTGATCTACGTGGGTATCGACTTTAATATCAATTATCGATTGTCGATTTTTTTATTATTTTTTGTATTGCGTCTCAATTTTTCTTTGTTTTATTATTTTCAATAAATTTATCTATATGACATATTTTTATTTGTCTTTATGGCATGTTTTCTTCTGCCTTTGTGGTATGTTTTCTTTTTGATATGTTTTTCGATCGTTCGGTCTTTTATCATTTATTTTTTTCTAAGAGTTAATTTGACATAGTCACGATGGATCAAAATGATGCTTATCTGATATCTTGTTGATATTTTCTTCTTTGGATTCATCGATTGGATCTTGATACCCGATTTACGTTCGTGGATAGCTTTTCGCGTCGCTCGCGAGTTTGACTTACAGTTTGTCTGTGATCTTTCAATAGCTTGATATTCTTTTATAGTTTATTTGTCGATGCGATCAGTTACGTTTATATATATCTTTGTTTGGATTTTTTTGTTAAATTTTTAATCGATCTTTCCTTGTATGTTGCTTATGTGTTTTTAAGTTGTTATTTTTGTTTCAATGACTATAGAATATTATCTTAAATATGTACTTAATTTACAATTATGATTATAAATTTTCATTATAATTTGAGATATTCTTTATTTTGAATAGAAATAGTTTATTTATGAAAAAATAGACTAATTTGCAAGGCCAAAAGAAATAGAATTAAACTAATTTGTTGTACAACTGCATTCTCTTTTAATTGTTGTACGGATAAAATTTCATACGCAAATCTCTTTTACATATAGATTCTGCAACTCTTATATTTTTTTACATTTTTTATATTAGTAAAAGAAAAATTAAACGTGATTTTCCTTAAAATATTTTTAACATAAATATTTTTAATATATATTTTATTGTACGATCATTATATATATATATATATATATATCATAAACAACATCTCAGCTTATGATATATCTGCATGAACATAGAATCAACTGTGACGCCAATTCAGGCTTCCCACATGAACAACTATTTTGAAGTGATGATTCGGCATCTCCGGGAACGTAAACTCCCTGAATGTTTTAGATCGTGGATCATAGACAAGAAGACAGGGGCGTGGCTGAGCAAGCGCATAATACGCGATGGCGTAGGGCCTCAAAAAATAGGAACCCCGAAATAAAGTATACCTATCAGTTGTTGTCATTAAGTAGTAGAAAAATAGATATAGAGCAATAGTTAGATCATTGGGCCCATGACTTTGTTGATCTTAAGTTCGAATCTCGTTAACGAGTAAATTCATTTTTGGTAAAAACAAGTTCAAATTTGCACAAGACCCCCGAAATAGAGTATATCTATCAGTTTTTTACGTTAATTAAATTAGTCATTTATTATTTCAGAAAAATAAGTTCGAGATCAAAGGACCCTTTACAAGAATTTGCACAGGCCTACAACAATCTAGCCAGGGCTGCGAGAAGAGCTTTGCTTTTGTATTCCAAGAAGATCTGACCACTTCTCAACACACACAGAAACCGAACAAACATTAGGTCTTAAATTAGTACCGGAGTTTACTGTTTAGGATCTCTTGCTGCAATAATGTTGGGGTCAAGCAATAAGCTCCGATGCTAAACTCTTTGATCCAAGACTCTTTTACGCCGTATTCCTTCATAACCCAAATCTCCAATCGTTCACCGTAATTACCGTGAAAGACAACCTCGTACCACCATCAGTTGATGGAAACACTTGTCTGAACCGGCAATCGGGTTTCGGTATCTCGTCGAATCGTTTGGTCTCGAGATCGAAGGATATGAGCAAGGTAGCCGTGGTGTTCTTGTTAGGCTTTGTAAGCCAATGGAATCTCCCGTGGATCAAGGCCTTGGATTTCGAATGAATAAACCGATATGGTATGGTTCCTAGGTTGCTCCGATTAGGGTTTTCGAATGTCAGGGTCTGAACCTTCGATTGGGTTGAAGATATCGACGTAGATGTATTACTCGACTCGACTCGTCTCAATTGTCTTCGAAACACTACCTGGATCACCTTGTACTGCTTCGTGGTTCGATCAAAACCAAACCCTAAATTCCCCACGAGCGATGGGTACTTGACCAATTTGGGGAGCTCGATGCAAAGCCCGTGAAAGGGTTGCAGATGAACACCCTTCGAGATGCATCGTGCATGCAAAACAATCCATTGCATGAGTCTATCGAATACATGGGCGTAGTAGGAGAATTAATGGCGGGGAGCTTCTTTGATACCACTTCTCCTTCACTATGATCGGAGAAATCTATGAAGTAGCGTTGGTCGGGTATTGGCCAGTTGCTTTCCATGATGAAGCTGGGATCGTTGCCGGCAGCCGCGTCCAAGTGCTTGCTGATGAGGAACGGATCATGTATTAGGGTTCGCCACGCTTGACAAACCAGCTTTGAACTCAACAAAGATGTGAAGGGAAGCCTGGATAGTATATTGCGATGACTTCCCGAGGAAGACGATCCATCATGTTTGCTGTTTGCTCTCTTCCGTGGTTCATTTTTGTTTTATTAGAGAATATTAATTTATTCAAAAAATGGAAATTCAATCCTACGATGTCAATTGGTAGCTTAATGGCCTTTCCCCATCTCTTTCATGGTTGATTCTTCTTCCATCGTTGACGAAGAAGACGAAGAAGAGTAATACCGTAATAGAATATGTACATGATATATACATTTGGCGATCAAAATAAAGATTAATGATTTGACATTGAATGCGAATTAATATGACAAAGAGAAGGTGGTAAATGATAATGTAATGCATGCGGTTCCTCTACGGTAAGTTGTGATTATGATACGCCAACGTTTCTCTATACCTATGAGCGTAAATGAACCGAGTTTGAACGAAGAAGGTTATGTTGGTATTTATTTATTTATTTTTTAACGTGTTCATGTTTGGTTCGTGTTCTTCTAAATTTTTTTTATCGTGTTTGTGTTCATTTGTTTATTATTGAAGGTGTTTGTGTCCGTTTATTCATGAACATGTTCTCTTAATGTTGGTGAACGTGCTCGTTTATATGTACATAACATATTCATTTAGCGTTCATGAACGTGTTCGTTTAATGTTTGTTTATATGTTCAATTTTTTAGTTTTACTCATTGTTTTGAAAACCGGACCGGACCAGCCGGTTCAACCGGGAACCGTTGCCTAGTCCGGTTTAATCTAGACCGGTTGAACCGCTACTAGTGAATCGGTCGGAACCGCTGAACCGTTCAAACCAGACCGGCTAAAAACCGGAAAAAACCGCCAATTTTGTTTTTTTTTTAAATTAAACCAAACGACGTCGTTTGTTAAACGAGCCAAGTCGAACTCGAGTATTGCTGAGCTCCTGAGCTCGACTCGAACTTGAAAAATTTAAAAGTAAGCTCAACTCGATTCAAACTCACGAGCTAAAAATTATGAAGTTTAACTCGAACTCAAAAAATAATATTGAAACTTGAACTCGAAAATGCTTGAACTCAAAAAAAAATTAGAAGCTCAATTGAAGCCTAAAATTCGAGCTTTATTGAAGTGAAAGAATAGTTCACTCAATGCTTACTAAAAGTCTCCATGATTTTGAATGCCAAATTACCTCTATTATTTATAGAAGTTAGTTTGGATGATCTTCTATGTTTCTTAGCCATGTGAGATTGTTTTTTTTTAAATTAAACCAAACAATTCATTTTGTTATGATTTTTTTTAGCCCAAATTTATTTTTTAATTATAGTTATATAATTATATTTATTATTTAATATGTTTTACCTTAAATATTATGTTGTAGTTAATTTAAATCATTTTTTTTCATTTGATTTTATGGTTTTTAACTTATATATGTTATGACTTGCTTTGAATATGAATTGTAATATAAATTTTTTTTATTAAATATTTTTGGTATTTTTATTTAATTTTTTTAAATAATTATGACGTCATCTGATTCTTCCGACCGGTCGGACCGCTTCGACCGGTTGAACCAATGAACCGGTAGCATGACCGATTCCCTAACCGGTCCAGTTCTGAAAACCATGGTTTTACTCTTTCAAGCTAAAGAAAAATGGTAAAATTATGTTATTAGTGCTTAAACTTGTTAAAATTCATAGTTTAAATTTCAATTTTTATTATGTGTTCAAGTTAGTCACTACCATAACCAATATTTAAAATGTAAAAAAAAAAAAAGGAAAATTGGGTAAACGAGCTTGTTCATGAATATAAATAAATGAGTTGATAAATGAGCTTATAAACGATCTCATAAACGAGTTTGTTCATGAACATAAACGAACCGAGCACACCTCTGTTCGTATTCATTCAATGAACATAAAAAAAAAAAATTGTTCATACTCGTTTCTTTAGCTTAACAAATGAACATAAACAATATACAAACGGTTCACGAATAGTTTATCGAATGCTCTGTTCATTTACATCCCATCACCATAACCTTTACACGGACAAGGTGCATCGGCTGAGTACATGATAGTTGTAACATCGCTATATGTGAAGAAGGACTTATTTTATCTTTATAAGAATAAAAACAACTACTTGATATTGAAGTATCATATTTTGTTGACATTTGAAAGATTGAAGTATGGAGTTGAGATGCATATGTGTAAATCAACTAAGCATTCGTTTATATTCACGAGCATGCTCGTTTGAAAGTTTATTGATCGGCTCATTTATAAATTCATTTACCTATTTTTTTTGTTTTTTTATATTTTAAATATTGGAGAAGTTATAGACTAAATTAAACACATGGTCAAATTTGAAGTTCAAAATTATGAAGCATAAAGAGCTTAAGGTTAGTGGCATAATTTCACCATTTCTGAACACATAAAGAGTCATGTTGATGAACATTAAACGAACATATACACGAATATATTTAAATAAATGTTAAATGAATCGAACATGAATACCTTAAAAATAAACAATTGAACACAAACACAAATACATATCTTACATTTTTTAACTAAGATTTTGTCTCACTAAATTTTTTATTAATTTTTTAATAAGATAACATATTATAAATCATTTTTTTTTATATCTTTATAAGATCATATTATTTTAATTCTAATTTTTAGTTTTTTCATATAATTTATAAATCATATTTTAACTAATTCAGTAATTATATTTTATCTTAATTTTAAGGGTTAATTACATGATTAATCACTTATGTTTGTGTTTTGCGCACGTTTCCTCACTGATTTAAAAAAACATAATATATATTTACTTTCGTTTTTATTTAATCAAAATGTGGTCACCACGAGTTAGCTGCCATTAAATATTTTGATATAATCATGCATTTGATCCATATTATTTACATATTTTCTCAATTTAGTCATATTTTTAATAAATTAAAATAAGTTTAATCCTCGAATCGAATGATGTCATGTGTCACTTGTACCACGTGTCAAGCCACATGTCACCATTTCATTGGAGAACTAATTTTATTTTAATTTAATAATTTTTTTCTTGTCTTAACTTCAAAATATTTTAACATAAAATATTTTTTTCTTATCTATAAATACAATATAAATTCAAAACATCCAAAAACGGGTAAGTGGTCGGTCAGCAAACAACTCGTTCAAAAAGTTACCGCCTCAATTCCCGCACTTTTCCTTCCAACTGAAAACTAAATTCCTCCTTTCCCAACACTCTCCCTGCCAAAGCACTCGCACGCACGCACAGTCACCCACACTATTGGCTGCCAATCTCGTTGAAACCTACGCATGCGCCCCTTCCACGGAACGCGGCCGTGGGATTCTGATATCTGGCAACCCAAAATTAAACTCCATCCTATACTGCAACGCAAGGTCCGTCTTCATCCGTTACCTAGACAGTCCTCTCGACGTTGCCGTTTACGGTGAGCACAGTTATCCGGTCACAGTCGCTCGTTACTCCCCCGACGGCGAGTGGATCGCCTCCGCCGACGTCTCTGGAGTCATACGGATCTGGGGGACGCATAACGATTTCGTTTTGAAGAATGAGTTCAAGTTACTTTCCGGTCGGATCGATGATCTGCAGTGGTCGCCGGACGGGTTGAGGATCGTTGCATGTGGCGATGGGAAAGGAAAGTCGTTTGTTCGCGCTTTATGTCAGTGTTGTTGTTTGAATTGAAATTTTGTTTTAAGAGAATAAGAAAATGGTTTGGATTTTGATTAGAGGCTTTTTGTGATGTTGAAATTTTGAAGGTGGGATTCGGGGTCAACAGTGGGGGATTTTGATGGGCACTCGAAGAGGGTGCTAAGCTGTCATTTTAAACCGACGAGGTCGTTCCGAATTGCAAGTTGCGGAGAAGATTTCTTGGTGAATTTTTATGAAGGTCCACCCTTTAAGTTCAAGTTATCTCACCGGTAGGTATTACTGCTTATCTATAATGCAAGTCAATATATGGTGCACTGACTACAGAATGAACACTGCTTAGGGAATTATAAGTTTTTTTAGGAAAATAGCGTATGGGTCCGTTCGTAAGATTTATATTAGTTTTAGGATTATTCAAGGGTCTGTTTTATGATTTGCAGGGGGCATTCAAATTTCGTCAACTGCATTAGATTTTCACCAGATGGAAGCAAATTGATTAGCGTAAGCTCAGATAAGAAGGGTATAATATATGATGCAAAGAGTGGTGAAACAATGGGAGCGCTGTCCAGTGAAGATGGTCATACAGGTAGCATTTATGCTGTTAGATGGAGCGGAGATAGTAAACATGTAAGCACCTTGTTGAGTATTTGATTTGATTTGATTTGATTTTTTTTTGCTTTAATAAGGACCATTGCTCTGTCAAAATAAATAAATAAATAAAGTCCATAGCTTCATTGAAAGAGCAGTATCCAATGCAATTGTGCGTCTGATTACTTTCAAGCGAGTCATTTTGTGTAGACTGAAAACTTCAAATGAAAATGTATAATGTTCCTTTAAATCCATGCATAGTTGTTTAAGCATAATCTGTGTGTGGAAGTGCCAGGTCAAATTATTTTCAAGCGAGTTATTTTGTGCAAACTCAAACTTGGCAGTGTCCTTTATCTTCCTTATGTCCTCAATTGTGTTTAATTTATTTTAGCCAACAAAGATGTCAGTAACAGTCTTGCATTTGTTCTGTTTTAAAGTTCAACAATAAGAGCATGAGAGATTCATAAGAGTTGTGTTTTCATCAAAATTGACACGTTTCCCGCAATGAGTATATGTCGACAACAACAAAAACTTTCTGTTACTTTCTTCAGTTAACTACATCCAGGCACTTTTTTGCTCTGAACTTCCAACATCTTAATTGCAATCATGTGTTTCCTACTTATCTGCCTATTACTTTATTGATGAAATCAGGTAATTACTGTTTCTGCTGACAAGACTGCCAAGATATGGGAGATATCTGACGATGGTACGGGAAAAGTGATGAAAACATTGGGATGCACTGGATCTGGTGGAGTGGAGGACATATTTGTAAAAAGCGCGCCTAAGGCGCAAAAGCGCATAGACTCACTGAACGGGGCTTTTTCAACACTGAAGCGAGGCACGTAGTTTAGGCGCACCTAGGCGCAACGAGGCACGAGGCTCAGTCGAGGCACAATTGAGGCGCGATGAGCTGAAAACCTTGTAATTATTATTGTAGGGCTTCTCTCCTATTGGCTGACCTCCTAAAACCCTCAATCGACTGAAGATGATGAAATGGCAGCATTGTATTGCCTTCTTTGAAAGGGATCAGGAGATCGGAACTCGAGAAAGGATCAGTCAAAACGACATGCACTGAGCATGAAATTTAGTGGGAAAGTGAGAAACATAAGAGCGAAAGCTTAGCTGGTTTAACGAAAGAATCTCCGGTCAGAGACTAAGAGAGAGAGAGAGAATGTTGCGATCGGATTTTGGTGGTGGAAGAGATGGAAACAGAGAGACAAAGAAAAAGGGTGAAGAAGCGAAGTGAAAGTGAAAATGAAAGAAGACAATCATATTAATAATGATATTTATAAACACGTGTATATTTATCAACAATTTACACAAAGTTTTAGAAAATATAAAATCCATAACTATTATTTTACTCAGCATAATTTGTTTTATTGTGATTTCTTAATTTTTCACGTTACCAAAATATTATTAACATGTAAATGCAATCTTTTTGTTTTATTAATATATTAATAATATGATAATTTTTTATTAATTTAAAATTTTTAACTTATAATTATTTAACATATTGATCGCGAATTAATATGTAAATTGAAATAATTTCAAACAAACTTTGGAAAGGCTGATACAATATAATATGATATTTTATTGAGGCAATACAATGTTGTCATCATCTTGAGTTGAAGCTCGAAAGGAAAGGAAAAAGCTATATTACACCTTGTAGATGAAGATGATGAAGTTGTTATGCTAGAGGAGAGTGACACTGAAGAAGAAGACATTGGGGATTGTGAGACAGATGAGGAGGAAGATGATGACATACCACTTGAAGAGGATGAGTTTGATGTTTGATGATGATTATCGGTGATTTTATTTGATGTTTTGTTTATGCATGTTTAATGTTTTTGTTAAACTTAGTCCTTGATTATGCTTGTTGATAGTTTTTATGACGTTAGGTTGGTATTTTGAGTTTGAGAATGAACTCTATTGAAGCTTAATATTGGGCATCTATGATATTTGAGTTTGATTGCATTAATATATACATGTATTACAATTTTTTGGATATCATGCGCCTCGCCTTCGTGAATCCTGCGCCTTTCATGCGCCTCGCGCCTCAAAGCTCCAGGACACTTTGCGCCTCGATGCGCCTTGAGCCTTTGATAACTTTGGTGGAGGACATGCTTGTTGGATGTCTCTGGCAGAATGATCATATCATTACAGTTTCCCTTGCTGGCACAATTAACTTGTACGCTGCTAGTGATCTTGATAGACAACCGTTATGTTTGTCTGGACATATGAAGAACGTAAATACATTAACTCTACTCCAAAGCGATGAAAAGAAAATTTTATCCAGCAGCTTTGATGGATATATTTTTAGATGGATTCCAGGGACTGGATTCCAGCAGCTTAGGGTTATCAATGGCCTGGCTCAAGTCCTTTGGTTGACTTCCAACATCTATCTGTTCTGCCTCCTCAGATTTATCTTGATCTAGAGAAATTCTCCATAGCTGAAATTAACAGAGGAATGGTCAACAGAAAAGAGAACTAGTTTTCAAGCTATATAAAGGGTGCAAAGTGTTCACGGTTAATATGAATCAATGAAAGTACTTATCTAGATAGAGATGATATCAATGTTAAACAACAAAAAGGATTTTATGCATGACCTATGCATGGACAGAGATTATTAAAGCATACATTGTTTCCAGGGACTTGAGCCAGGCCATTGATAACCCTAAGCTGGCTTTAGTTTCAACTGATTCTGGAGTTCTATTGCTTAAGGATCTGCAAGTACTTGCAAGCATTAACGTTGGGTTTGCAGGGACAGCATCTGTTATTGCACCTGATGGAAGTGAGGCTATTGTGGGGGGGGGGGGGCAGGATGGTAAGTTGCATATATATTCTGTCTCATGTGATTCTCTTAAAGAAGAAGCAACCCTTGAGAAGCATAGAGGTCCAATTAGCGTTCTACGGTATTCGCCAGATTTTTCCATGTTTGCTTCTGCCGATCTAAACCGTGAAGCAGTTGTTTGGGATCGTACCTCCAAAGAGGTAACTTGAACTTCAAATTAGTTCTAATACGTCGCCTTGCAATAAAACTTATATGGTAACTCGATTCATCCCATTTTCGATATGTATGCTTGGGCTTAACAACCCTTTTGCTCATTCCTTATTGGACACTCTGATTGCTTTGTTAGTTTTTTTGGCAAAAATTGGCCAAATCCCACATTGGAAATGAACAAAGGATGGAAAAATTCTTAGCCTATAAATAGAACATTTCCCTTTGGTTAAATGTATGTCAATCACCAAAATACAAGTGGTGTACTAGAAAGCTATTAGCTATACTAGTAGAGAATTTAAAGGGAAATTCTCTTGGAGTGTACTTTAGCTTTTGGGCATGTGTGAGAGTTAAATATTTTGTAGTGTGGTTGTAATAATTTTCCACATAGTAAATATTTTTTTTCTTGGTTGTCTTTTGACAATGCTTGTGGTTTTTCTCCATTTGGGAGTTTTCCATGTTAAATTATTGTGTTTTCTCTCTTTTATTTTTCAAGTATTTTTGTTAATGTTGTGATCTAAAGGGATTGTTGGATTACAAGGGGTCTATTTTCCCAACAATTGGTATCGGAGTCAATGGTTTGGTAAAAGATAAATTTCAAGGCGGGGTAAGAATTTCTTTAAAATTCTTAGTATGCTCTGTGGTTGCGGCTTTGTCCGATCTTCTACATCAGAAAAGATTTTTTAGAAATTGTTGTGGTCCAACTGGAGGTCTTTTAAATACGTTATTGTGTTTATTGAGTGTGGTATTGTGTAAGTAAGTGTAGCCAAGAAAGTTTTGTCACAAAGGCTATAATCGCCTAAGGAGGTTGGGACTTAAGCGGTACCATTTGTGTCCCCCCAATCTTTCCTGGAAACCTTCTTAGTGCATTTTGTAGACACAATTGTTCACTCATTATTCACGTGTGAGATCACTGGAGCATTGTTGAGCAAAAATGAGTTTCAGATTTGATATTGAGAAATTTGATGGGAGAATTAATTTTGGGTTGTGGCAAGTACAAGTCAATGATATACTAATCCAGTCTGGATTGTATAAGGCCTTAAAGGGAAAGCCAGCTTCTTTGTCCGAAGGAAAGGAACCAGATAAACCTAGTGACAGCAGTGGAGACAAGGGAAAATCCAAGATGAGTGAAGAAGAATGGGAGGAGTTAGACATGAGAGCAGCAAGTCAGATTCGTCTCTGTCTAGCAAAAAATGTTCTTGCTAATGTTGCTAGATGGTCATCAACAAAGGAGCTTTGGGAAAAGCTTGAGGAAATGTACCAAGCTAAAAGTCTTTCAAATAGGTTATATTTGAAGGAGAAATTTCACAAATTGCAAATGGAAGAAGGTACAAAAATTTCTGACCACCTTAGTGCACTCAATGGGATTGTTTCTGAACTGGAATCTATTGGAGTGGAGATTGATGATGAAGATAAAGCATTGAGACTTATTTGGTCTCTTCCATCTTCCTATGAGCACATGCAAACCGTTTTAATGTACGAGAAAGAGAATGTGAATTTTTCAGAAGTGACAAGTAAGCTGATTTCGGAAGAAAGAAGGCTGAAAAATGGAGAGAACAAATCTTCTGAAAGTGGAGCATTGTCGGTTTGTGGAAATAGGAAGAAGTATAAAGGCTCCAAAAAGAAAATTATCTGCTGGGGATGTGGGCAACCTGGAAATCTAAAGAAGGATTGCAAAAACGGTGGAGCTAATTCGGCTAATGGCTCCAAAAGTGATGCTACTAATGTAGTCGTCTTTGAAAATGAAGACGATGAATTTGTTTTTTAAAGTAAGATATATATCCTCATGGCATGATAGCTACCAATTGAGTTGCCATGGAAAAGGATGTATGAAAAGGTAGCATGTCCACATTTACACATGGGCATTGGTTGACAGTTGATGCAAGGTGTGTGGTGGAATTGATGTCGATGGCTAATGAACTTCCTAGAAAGTCAATATTGGAAGTTGCACCATAACTTATTAGCAGTTTTTCGACATGAACTGGTCGAGGTAAAAATTCTTGGAGTTAGTGAATTCCAAGTGTGCATACTCTTATGGTGGAGTATGACAATTCTTGTTTTTAGAATTGTGACTATCATAGCTGATGGTGTTATTGAGGTAGCTGTTGTTTTTATGGTGAAGAATTGTATGGAATTTTTGCCAAGGTGGAGATTTGTTAGTTTTTTGGCAAAAATTGGCCAAATCCCACATTGGAAATGAACAAAGGATGGAAAAATTCTTAGCCTATAAATAGAACATTTCCCTTTGGTTAAATGTATGTCAATCACCAAAATGCAAGTGGTGTTCTAGAAAGCTATTAGCTATACTAGTAGAGAATTTAAAGGGAAATTCTCTTGGGGTGTACTTTAGCTTTTGGGCATGTGTGAGAGTTAAATATTTTTGTAGTGTGGTTGTAATAATTTTCCACATAGTAAATATTTTTTTTCTTGGTTGTCTTTTGACAACGCTTGTGGTTTTTCTCCATTTGGGAGTTTTCCATGTTAAATTATTGTGTTTTCTCTCTTTTATTTTTCAAGTATTTTTGTTAATGTTGTGATCTAAAGGGATTGTTGGATTACAAGGGGTCTATTTTCCCAACATGCTTGACATTCCTAATGTCAAAAAGTAAATTGGGGAATACATGTCAGTTAAGAGAGATGTTTTCCTCCTTAACAAGAGTGGATGCTTCAAACAGCTTTCCCAAGAGTATTGTCCTAGCTAATTATGGAATTCAGATCCATCAGTCATATATATTGAGGGATATTAGTATCACCCCTGGTCCTGGATAATCAACCTTTTTTATGGACATCCTCTAGTTTCTCAGTTACATTTGCTGCATTGCTTCAAAGCCTGTTTGGTTGCAGAGTATCTTTTACGACTGATAGTGGAACAATAATTATCATTTTGGAGCTTATTTGATCACTTCTTCAGTTATCTGAATGTTCATGTTTGATTTTGGCATCGGCTGCTAGTTAGAAACCTATTTTATTAACTACAATTCCCGGCATGAAGCATCTTACTATCCAAGGATGTGAACCAAAAGATCTCAAATCTCTAAATTTGCACTTATTATAGAGCCTACTATGATATTAAAAAACTGGTTTTTATTTTGTTTATAATCTCTCGAATATCATCATGCACATTTCTGTAGGCACTATCTTACTATACATCAAGAAACAGATATAATGCGTCTCCATGAACAGTCCAACAAAAAATTCTGATTATATTGAAAAGCAGGATATCTTAAAAATGCTTTCAGCAATGGACTGGATGTTTTAACATCTTTTGCCTTGTAGCTAAAATATAGTTTCCCAATTGTTTTGCAGGTGAAGCTTAATAACATGTTGTTCCACTCAGCTCGTATCAATTGCCTTGCTTGGTCCCCTAATAGCACCATGGTGGCTACGGGATCACTAGACACTAACGTAATCATATACGAAATTGCAAAACCTGCTTCCAACCGCATAATCGTAAAGCATGCTCATCCTGGTGGAGTTTATGGTTTGGTTTTTATTGACGACTGCACCGTGGCTAGTTCAGGGGAGGACGCCTGCATCCGTGTATGGAAGATAGTGCAGTAATATAATCATATGACACGAACAATGCACAGGTTAGATCTTTAAACTTGAGGAATGTACATTCATTTACTTTCTTATTTTTAGATATCGGTTGACCTGTGAATATGGCGACAAGAAAAGAAAAAAACTTTATGTTGCATTAGAACAAGCTGTATTTAGCATATACTACTTGAAAATAGCTTTATATTTTGTTATAATTTGAGCCTAATAACAGAAAATTAGAAAAAGGGGCATGACTTTTCTATAACTGTATTTCAGGACACTTTCCTTTCTCAAATATTCTGCAAAAGAATAAAATGAAAGCAAAGAGAGCAGGTAAGCAGCATCATGAAGGGTTTTTGTGAAACAGGTTTGCATATATAAAGAGAGAGTGGCAAGATCCTCAAAGTATGTGTGTGTGTGTATATATATATATATATATATATTGAATTCTTTTTATTCAAATTTTCAGCATTTGCATCTTTGTCAAGTTCTTTTGGACTCATTGGCTCATTACATTGTTTGATTGGTAGACCAAGGAAGAATGTTGAGTTCTTCCTTCAAATTCACTTTGCAGTTGTTTAGTGAAATACTTGCTTCCTCTAACATTGCACGCTAGAGACAGTTTATTCAGGTAAGATTCCACTGAGTAATAACATAAACTCAAAGATGAATGGTGTTTAAACAACAGCATGCAAATGGCAAGCTCTATAAGAAGCTCCCCTTACTCGTTGTACACTTCTGGGTTGCTTTACAATTATACTGACCCCGAAGCCAACAACTTCGACCGAATTCACTAGTCCCCCCCCCCCCCCAATTCCTATGCTTCGTACAAAAATCAACCATCTCATCTGATGGTATTCTTTAGAGCCTTCCACGGAACTCGGATGCAAGGTTGATGCGAGATATTCGCCTTTTAGTTCGCAGTACGCATCCCTTTATGGGCACTGGTTAGACGGTGAATTCCAGTCGTCAAGAATGTTTATCAGAGTCTCCTCGAATTTGTCATCTGCATGAGCCAACATGCAGCACAATCAAATTTGTCATCTGCTTGATAGCTTCCCAAATTTCATTTCTACATTATTAACACCGCCTCGAAATATCGATCGCTAATTACGGCTAATGCATGCTTTCATCCCCCAAATTTTGTATAGTGTAACATGTCACATCATTAAATACGACAAATCGATATAACTTAAATGAATAAACTATTACTTTCTTAAACCGTTGATTAAAATAAGACATATCAAAAGTAAAAGTGATCACTCGTGTAATTTACCATAATTGTTTTACAAACACAAGTAATTTGATTTAGCCCGGCCTAATTTGAAAATAAATATTATTTGGAATTGGCCCAAATTCAACGAGTCCACATCTAAAATGGGTCTCTTTTGACCCAACATTAAAAAAATAGTATTTATTTATTTTTATAATTTTTAAATTAAAATTATATTTAAATAATGTCTGGACATGTCAAACATAAGATTTTCGTTCATAAATTGGGTAGTTTAACTATAGGGTAAATTACACCAATAAATTTATTCTCTTTTTTATTTTATTCACTATATTTTAAATAAGTTAAATTTTCTCATTGAATTTAACATAATTAGTATTTTTTGTCACTCAGTCGTTTTCTCACTAAACGATGTTATAAATGAATTGTTATATAGATGCAAAATGACATCGTTTTGGTGAAAATTTTGTTTAAAAGCTAATCATATTAAATTTAGTGAAAACATTGAACGAATTTAAAGTACAGTAGGTTAAATATAAGATATGAATAAAATTCAGGATGATTGGTGTACTTTACCCTTAACTATAAAAAACTGTTTTTTATATAATTAAAACAGGAAACTCATGCTGTTAATCTCACGCATCTTCTTCGTCTGCCACCAAATTCAAACCAGAAATGAAATCCCATGTACAAAAACCCAACACACCGGACTATAAAAACATTGTGATTTGAACTCAAAAACCCAAAGCTTAATTTTCACAAAAAGCAAAGGAGAGAAGAAAAGAAGGCTCCTTTGCTTGAACAAAGACGGTCCCTTTGTTATCCTCTTTTTGTTAATGAAGTATGCTTCTTCTTTCTTTTACTTCAAAGCACTTACCTTGATAAATCACCCTCTCTTTATCGTTTTCCTTTTCCCCTCTCATTCCTCTTTTGCTTTCTCTTTTTGGGTACTTTGCCTTTGTTCATTCTGTTTAAATGTATAATGTTTTTGATGTATTTTCTGCAATGGATTCATGCCTATTTGTGTGCTTTCTTTGGGGTTTTCTATTTTTTTTCTTCTTTTACTTTTCCTTTTCCTTAATGGTTGTACCATACTTTATTCCATGCACTTGTTGGGGGATCCCCGTTTGTTCTGGTTTTAGTTGCTGAGTTGATATGGGAGCTTTTAGCTACAGTTTCTAATGATTTTGATTTTTTATACACAGGAGGAATTGAACAAGACAACTTGATCATTTTGGAGGATCATTTTGTATCTGAATATTTGGGATCATTTTGTATTACTAGTGGACCGGTTGTTGACTGAATCCACATTGGAAGCTGCAATCGAAAGCGGGAACCGGTCTTTGCAGGCCAACGCAGCAGCTTTTGATGACTCGAAGGTATTCGACTCTTCTCCGAGGTCGAAATCGTCGAATGTCGCATATGCCAAGATGAGGATGAAGATTCAAACATGGAGACCCCTTGTTCTTGTTCTGGCAGCTTGAAGGTTAGTTTAGTGCTACAAAATGGAAGTGAAAACAAAATGGAAGTGAAAGTTTTCATGTTATATATATCTTAAGCCTTGCACGTACTTCACTGGGAGTCTGGGACGAGCTCGTGTTCCACCTTGCACTTCACGCAGTGTAACTAGCACTTAGAGTGCACACCGAGCTCTCTACAAGAACTTTTTTTCCCCATTTTTGGTGAATATATCATCGGTGTCGATTACGTAGTAAATTCGAGTGCGAATAATTATTTTGTGGGTTAATACACATTGAGCCCTCTATTTTTTATTATTTCAGAATGCTCATCGGAGATGTATACAACGATGGTGCAACGAGAATGGCAATATTACCTGTGAAATATGCCTTCAGGTTACATACTTTTACCTTTCATGTCTCATGTTCTAGTAAAAGCCTTTTTTTTTCGTTTCTTTTCTTTTTCAGACCTAACTTAAGTGATCATAAATCTGCATTTCGGCAGTTCAGGCCGGGTTATACAGCACCACCTCCCTTGTTCCGTATCAGTCGTATTCCGATGAATTTCAGGTAACTTTCGTTTCGAGTTTAGCTGTTTAGGTATTAGTTAAGTAACTCTGGCTCAGTTCAGAGATTTTGAAGTGCTTCATTTTCTCCACAATGTTATCAGGGGAAACTGGGAGATTTCTAGGAGGGACTTGAACAATTCTCGCTTTATAGCTGTGGTCTCAACAGATCATGGCTTACGGGATTCCGGATACGATGAATATTTAGCTGCGACTACTAGCAGCTCGATAGGTTACCGTACCGTTGCTATAATTGTAAGCTTACCGTACCGTACCGTACCTCTGGTTCGATGGCAAGTTTGCTTCCTAGCCAATAGGCCTAACAAAATAGCACAATTTAAGAGGAATACACAGGTTTTTCTAATTTCTCGTGTTTTTCATCTGCAATTCAAGCTGCTTCTGGTTTTTCGACATGTTCTTCCTGCCATACTAAACGGAAGTGACGACTACTCTTTGCCGCTATTTACGGTAAGCCATTCCCCCAATGTATATGGAGAATATAATCAACTTCTCTACTTTCAGACTATAAATTCATCTCTTCTTTCGTTTCAGTTGTTACTGCTTCGGACTGTCGGAATTTGCTGCCAATCTATGTAATGGTTAAAGTAATGACCGCCATCCATCGTCATCTCCGCAGGCGGCAAAAGGTGAGTATTTCCCAATGTTATTAAAACCGGACCGGACCAGCCGGTTCGACCGGTTGAACCGTAAATCGGTGACCTGTCCGGTCCGGTTAACTCCCAAAACCGGATGAGCATAGAATCGGTAAAGAACCGGAAGAACCGGTTGAGAACCGACTGAGAACCGGTAAAACCGGGATGAACCGGCAAAACCGGTGTGAACCGCCGGTTCTCTTTTTTTCTTTAAAAAAAATTAAACAAACGACGTCATTTGTTAAATGAGCCGAGTCGAACTCGAGTACTGCTGAGCTCGACTCGAACTCAAAAACTTTAAAAGTAAGCTCAACTTGACTCAAAAACTCACGAGCTAAAAATTATCAAGTTCTACTCGAACTTGAAATATAATATTAAAACTTAAACTCGAAAAAACTCGAACTCAAAAAAATTTTAGAAGCTCGATTGAAGCCTGAAATTCGAGCTCAATTGAAGCAAAAGAATAATTCGCTCTGTGCTCACCAAAAAGCTCCATGATTTTGAATGTCAAATTACCTCTAATATTTATAGAAGTCAGTTGGGATGCTCTTCTATGTTTCTTAACCATGTGAAATTATTTAAAAAAAAAATCAAACGACATCGTTTGTTATGATTTTTTTAAGCCCCAAATTTATTTTTTGATTATAGTTATATAATTATATTTATTATTTAATATATTTTATCTTAAATATTATGTTATAGTTGATTTGAATTATTTTGTTTCACTTGATTTTATATTTTTTAACTTATATATATTATGACTTATGACATTTTTAAACTTATAAACTTAAAAAAATGTTATATGTATATTAATATTAGTTTGAATATTATGTAAAACTTAAAAAAATATTATTTTATATAAAATCCGATTGAATCACGATTGAACCTGATTGAACCAGTGAATCAGTACATTCACCGGTTCAAGGTCCAGTACGATTTTAAAAACATTGGTATTTCCCATTGATTCAAATCATATTCCCTGCTGTTTCGGTGTGTATAGTTTGCTTATTCGAGTTTTCATTTTCTTCTGTTGATTACTCAGCAGACTCCAAATTCATTGGTTAATCAATCAGATGAGGAAAATGAGATTTCAATCGTGCAAGCTCAGCCTCACATAGTTAGCATACATCGATCGCCAACATAAATAAACCGAACACGCTGATAATACAATATGTCTCACAGATTGCGAATGATTGCGGTCAAATGAACATTTATCTTCCATGATTAATTAATTAACCACCATTCTTATTGTACAAACTACAAACCAATAAAGATTGTAAAGAAGCAAATGGATCAGAACTAGGGTATGGGATGAGACTCGAACTTTACCTCTTTGCACACTTGAATCCGTGATGCGAGCTTACGGATCTAAAATCAACCTTAATGTGCTCGGCATTGCATATATTCAGAGCATCAACATGTACCATCCATGTAATTCACCAACAATTCTTGAACCATGCCTCGATCAGGTATCTTCCCTGCAGCACCGTATATGGGCGCTAGGCCTCCACTTATAGGGCCTGGATTTTCTTTCACCTAACACAAAACAGTAACATACGTTACTCTGAAGTACCGGTAAACAAGATTATGTCCCTGATGGCTAATGAAGACTAGTTTGTGATTTCAGGTGCTTACAGTTTGCACGGCTTCCCTCAAATCCTGGAGGAAGGTATCAACAACTGGTACATGTTGAAGAGTGACACAGATATGAAGGCTGGTTCAATCACATCAAAGAAAAGAATCTCAGCCAAGCAGCTCAAATTCAATCAGTGAGAATTCGGTTCACCGCAACGTTAAGAGAAAGAACATGGTACTGGGGAGTGCTCACCTGTTGGGCCTCTGCAATGCATTCAAATGCCAACCTTTGCGAGACATGATATCGTTTACTTCAAATATGTCTAGAACTGAAGATCCAAATGCCACCAGTGTCATGTCCGGCTTTCCAATGATAAACAACTCGGAAATCTCCTTTATCCTATAATTGAAGTGGCGTTCATTCTATATATCTCAAAATTAAGGAATTCAGTAGCAATAAGTGAAACAAATTCAAACCCTTTCTCAATCATCTTTGATGCTTCCATGATTTTTCTTGTATTCTCCAAGTAACCTATGAGTTGTTAAGGAAATAATAATAATTAGCCCAAAAACAGAACACCAGACAACAGGTTAGATGACCATTTCATAGCTTCACACATTAATTCTTCTACCTTGTTGTCCTAGAGACATCATCGCTGCCCAAGCTCCAGCAATCAACGCTCCAGGCCTGCTTCCAGCTATGGTCGGAGACACATATAGCCCACCTGACCACTCAGTAACTGTCCATGGACAAAAATAAAACAAAAATAATTAAGTAGATTCATGATGCGAAGAACTGCTACTGCATTTCTTACATAAATTAAGAATTAATTCTATAACCCGAAGAATATATCAATACAGTATCTGCTCTTTTTCAAATTAACCCTCCCTGTTAAGCCAAACTATTGCTTTCCAGTCTCAAGCAACCCTCCCTGTTATACCAAACTATTGCTTCCCAGTCTCATCTTAAATGTTTGAATGTCCCCAGACAATCGGAAATACTGTCCTAGAAGCAATCTGCTTCCTCAGTTTTAAATGTTTGAAACAACCCTAAGCATCTCCCTTTCCACCCTTCTTTCCCATCTCAGGTTCATTTCTCTTTTTCCTTTTCTTTAATAATAGAGATTCTACTTACCAGCTACAAATTGATGCTGTTGGACAATGGTCGACAAAGAAGTCCAGCATAAAATTTCATATCCACCAATCAAGATGACATGAAAAGAAAAACATATCATAAAGAACTTGATCAGAAGTGTAAAGTTAACATACACAAATATTTTAGATAAAACCCAAGTCTATGAGAGCACAATGTGCATAATCAAAAGGCAGATTCTAAGCAACAAAGACAGATATCACACATTACAGAACTTGTACATGAAATTTACAGTTTCCAATAGAGCCTAATACCTCCAAATCACCAACTTAAAATTTTTCTTCAGCAATTAGATATAATCAAATAATAGAGCCAAAACAATGCTCAATGTTGTTCAAAGAAAACTGACAGATACCTTTCTAATTTCATGATTTCTGTAAAGAACTATGCTTGTTCCTTTAGGAGCTAGGCCATATTTATGAACATCGGTTGAAACTGAAGTTACTCCCTTAACAGTGAAATCAAATGGTGGAATTGGATACCTGAGAGGAAAAGAGTATATATATATATATATAACCAATCAAGTTTTAGCCAACATTCCTGATAGAGATGGAACAGAAATATTAAGAGCTTAAGATTAAAAAATGGAAAGGATAAATTGATACGATCATAGAGAAATGACGAACAAAGTGGCAGCCCAATCTCAAAAAACAGTTTTCTAATTGTACCCAATAGCAGGTTACACAGATAACACCATCAACTCAATGGCATGACAAACTCGATCATAGAAAGTCTTCATTCAGGGGGGAAAATGATGTCAATCAAAGTGAAGGCACTTTCGACATTAAGATCACCTAGCCTCCCTTAAAGAGGAAAACTTCTTCAGAATAAAGTGAACAACCAGATAGTCATTGAAAACTAAAACTAATAAGAACATACAGACATCAATTTTGAAAATACCTTACCAATGACCTAAATAAACAGTTCCTTAGTAAGGGAAATCGGCACCAAATCAGCAATAGAGAACTACATTCCTTTAATGAATATTCATTCAAAGGGGAAAATGATGTCAATCAAAGTGAAGGCACCTTTTGAAAGTAAGGTCACCTTAGCACATTCAACAACAGTATAAGGGAGATAAAGCCTCCCTTACATGGGAAAAGACACTTCTTCCGAATAAAGTGAATAACCAGTCAGTCATTGAAAACTAAAATTAATGACCTGAGTAAACAGTTCCTTGATGAGGGAAATCGACACCAAATCAACAATATAGAACAACATGACTTTTAAGAACAAGAACCAAACATACAATATGATATTAGTCCATGTTGAAAAGAAAATAAATAATATAATTCCAATACAACTGAGAGTTCAGAATCATATACCCGAGTTTATGAGCAAAAGGCAAAACAAAGCCACCAAGACAAAGGTCAACATGGAAACAAATTCCATAGCTATCAGCCAATTTACCTAGCTCCTGCGAGAAAGATGGTATATTTTATCAGTAAGGTCCCAAGTAAAAATAACATTAAGAAATTACATTTAAATGCTCTTCCTACCCTGATGGAAAAAGAAATGAGTAGTGGCGTACCTCAATAGGGTCAATGATGCCATGAGGAAACCCAGGTGCAGATCCAACAATCTGCAGAAACACAAGATTTTTGTCAGGCCAACTTATAACAAAGAACTTAACTGCATATAAGATTAATGAAAATAATATAGACAATTATACCATGATAGTGTTTCTGTTAATATGCTGTCTGATTGCTTTCACATCTGCTTTGAATTCCTTATTGACAAGGACACGACGGAGCTTGATGTTAAAATATTGTGCTGCCTTGTCATATGCTGAATGTGCAGATTCAGCTATTATCCTATGCTTGGGAATAAGATAATTCAAATTGATAAAATTGGTAATGATAATAAATTTATGAAATAATTTAATTAAATGTAAGGGAAAGCTCACATTTCTGGCTTGGTAATCCCCTTCTTCATCTTCATGTAATCCCGAGAGGTTTTCACAGCTAACAGTATGCTCTCGGTTCCTCCTGATGTCATGTTTCCACATATTTGTCCTCCGGAGGCTTTATCTTTACTGCCAAGTAGATCCGCTGTCATAGCGACTACTTCAGCTTCAAATCGTCCCACACTCTGGAACACATCTAAATGTAATGGATTGGTATGCGCAAACCTGAAAATAGTCAACATCATTACTTAAAGATGGGTACCTAAAAGTAGAATGGGGCAGACATCATTTCTTCGAAGTTATAACAGAAACAATATATATATATATATATGTTTATAGAAAACATTAAAAAGTTTTAACCTGTGCAAATAGTGTATTTTAACACCTTTTTTTTGGAAACCAAGATAGTGTGAAGTAATTTTATGCGACTTGTAATTCAATCAAGCGAGTTTTAAACATTGCAGATAGTAAAAGATTAGATATGTTCTAAGGAATATAAAATAACAAATAATTTGGGATATCTTACTGACATTGAACATGCCTCATTGATCAAAGAAAAATGTCCTTCAGATTCACTTCCACCAATATAGCTGGACCAAATTAAACCCGCAGCTTATCAATCTCAAGCACAATCCAACAAAAACTGATATATATATGATGTAGCAAAACACGTATAAACTGTTTCCAAGACAAAATTATAAACATACACTGTACCAGAGCATTTTCCTTGCCAATCAACATCCTTGCTTTTTGCATCTTTCATTTCTTCTATAATACCCGCTCCAAAACCTGTGGTTGGCAATTCTGTCCTCCAGTCTTCTCGTTTGGATTTGCTACCAGATTGCAACTTGTCCACAACCTGCATTGTTCAGCAGACCGGTACATGTAATTATACAAGTCCTAATTGTGAAGACTTGGATTTCTCAAAAAAAAAAGACTTGGAAGATTTTAATCATTCAAGACAAAATGTACTTAGACCTGATTGAGCGAAGCATAAAATTCTGTAAACAAAATTTTGAAAATAAAGCTGCGCGATGCAGCTAGAGCAGAAATTAGCAATATAGTTCTAGAAGCAAGAACACAAGAGTGTCTCTGCAACATGTAAAAAGAACGGTCTTCTGCATAATTTCGTCCATTAGGAGATTAAAATATAATTTCCAAATGAGTGCAAGGAACACTGAGCACCCACTGTATTAACCGAATGATAAGAAAACAACACTCTTGATGGTGTCATTTCCGGCTTTGGCCATTCTACACAGAAATTCCAACATATTTCTCTCTCTTAGCCTTTTACAGTTCAAAGAAAACATTACTCATGCTTAGTCCAAAGTTCAAACAAAGACCCAGTCCGTTTCCATCCTGAAAAGAACTAAAAAATCAAACATGTGCTGCACTACAGTCTCACAACCCAAACTGCAAGCCTTTTATCTATTTGTGGATTCCTTATTAAATGCACTTAAAGTAGGTACAAAACACTTCTATGTCAATAGAAGAGAAAAATCTAAATAGCGCCTGCGACTTATAATTTTCATTGATACAGAGTAAGGACCAAATCATAGTCTATGATGCCAAATAAATGCAATTAAATAAATCGAAGGAACTGTGCAGTAGTACAAACTACAAAACGCATAACACTAATGTGTTTCACAAATCAGCAGGGAGAAAAATGTTATCCTAAAATGCCTACAAACAATAGTACCTGCCAGAGTTGGAATTTCTATTGAATCATAATACTAATAAAATAACAAATGCTTTGAAAACAACTCAGCGGATGTGAATTAAATGCTTCCCAGTTATTTCATTTCATTAATGCCCAAACAAAACAAAACAAAAAGAAAAATAATAATAATTATAAATTCTCTAACGTTCGCAACGAATCGGAGAACTAAAAATCAATCCACGGTACAGAAAATACTGAATGTATAAATTAGATGAAAAAAATCAATAAATATGATTTCAAAGTATACAAAAGAATATATATTATCCGACCTTTTGTTTCTCCGCATCAATATAACTCTTAACACCAGGAATCAACCTTTTGCAAAACGGAAAACAAATGGATTAGTCAAAGAAAACGAATATTTCCGCTAGTAAACTTAAATCGAATACAAAGACAGTGATATTAACACAATACTTGACGGAAGTCATGAACACGCCTATGAGCGTAGCCTTGAGCCCTCTGTCGTGGACAACGGAGAGAAGCGAGTGAAGTGCACGCGCGATAACGAGAGTGAGGAGAGGGGCGAGGAGCAGAGCCAGGGGTTCGAATTTTGAAAGGAACAGATTGGCAGAAACTCTGAAGCGAGCTAAGAATGAATTAAACGAAGAAAAATAATCTTCCATATCTGTTTGTTTTCTCGGAAAAAGAGAAATGAAAAATCAGGATGGGGAGATGAAACGATCTATGTGAAACGGAGTTTTAAGGAAGGGATTTGGTAATCGCGTGCAAGGTACGTATCTTCTTTGTTGCGCGTTTTGGCGGGGTGAACTGCGTTGCGTCACCTTTTTTTTTTAGAATTCTCCTCGATATTATCTCACATTAAATTATTCGTCTAATAATTGTATTAGGGGAGTGATTCGAATTTAATTCAGTCAGTAAAAATTTAAATAAGTTGATTTGATTCAATAATTTAAAGAGATGAATCGAGTAAAATCTAACTCGAATTAATAAGTTTACGAGTAATTTATTAATTTTTTAGTAGTTATTTTTAAAAAATATTTTATTCAAAAATTACTAATTTACTAATAGATATTAAAAATAATAAATAATTAATCTATTAATTTATAATATTAATAATTTTACCTACAGTTAAAAAAATTATATAAAAATTTTAGTGAGCTTAATGATCAATGAGTAGAGTAATGGGCTTAACGAGCACGAGTCGAGCAACAAGATTTTTTAAAGATCAGAAGTCAAGCAAAATTTAACGAGCAACGAGACGAGTAACAAATTTTTTTTAACAAGCACAAGTCGAACACTACCTAACTCGCGATCGACTCGCTCGATAAACACCCTAAATTGCATTAATCTAATTAAACAAAAATTATCTCGCTTTTAATTTTCTTTAACAACATCAGTAGCGAATCAAAAAAAAAACACTGAACCAATAAAATATAATAAAAAATTATCTAATATAATTAATATACATTTTTAATTCAAAAAAATGTTTTGATAAAAAAATATAGCAGGTCTTATTGAGCTCTGACTCGATCAAGGTAAGAGGGAGCTTTTAAGGAGGCCACATTAGTCTTTTAAAAAACATATTTTTTTATTATATCTGAAAAAAAAATGTATTAATTAGATCGATATAATTTTCTTAACATAATATATTTTGTCACTGATTTAAAAATATATATAAAATATGATTGTTTTTGTTTTTATTTAATTAAGATATAATAATTTCGAATTAATTATCGTTAACATTAGTTAAATATTTTGATAAAATCACACATTTGATCCTTATTATTTACATATTCTCTCAATTTAGTCATACTTTTAATAAATTAAAATAAAGTTAGTCCTCCAATCGAATGGTGCCACATGCCATCATTCGATTGGAGGACTAACTTTATTTTAATTTAATATATTTATTCCACCAATTAAAGAGTGGCATGTGTCACCCTATGTTTGAAAGAAAACAAAAGAAAGCAAATTGGGACAAAACATATTCAAAACTTGGTCACTTGGGAAACTAAACATGTATCCAACCATTAAGCCAAGATCATTGTTTGGTCTAAAGTAAATAACATGGTGTATATATTTGTATCTTAGTGTATAAATACTTAAATTCATAATATTTTATATATATTAACTTAAAAATATTTTTATATTAACTTATTAAATATATCTTATTATTAACTTAATTTAAAAATATTTTATTTTTATTTTCATTTAAATACATATATTTTTATTATTAACAGTAGTCCCACGGTGGACAATTCATAATTCTGACTGCCGGATGTCTCCCACGGAAGCTGTTCTCAACCTAACGTTGGGAGGCAGCCTACTATCCTACCTCCCACTTACCCCATTACATATGGGAATATGGTCAGTTAATTTTTTTATAATAAAATTTATTTAAAAGTACGACTAAATTGAGAGAATATGTAAATAACAGAAAATAAATGTGTGATTATATCAACTATCACATTACATGTTTTGTTAATTGTTAATAACAGTTAATCCGTAATGATCACATTTTAATTAAATAAAAACGAAAGTAATCATATCTTCATTAAATAAAAAACGAAAAAGATATTGTATCTTATGCTTTTTGAAATAAGTGACTAAAAGTGGACAAAATACAAAAATAAGATATCATTTGTATAGTTAACCCTAAGTAATAGTTCGATGATCAAAACATAAACTAAATAAGCCATGACCTAGGTTGTCCTAGACCTAGATACGATCATCTACGTCATAATTCGAATTTATAATTTCATTATAAAAATTTAACACTTTATTGTGTTAAATCAACTCAGAACTTATATAAATTTAAATATATTAATTTAATTGACAACAATAATATTGAACCATAATGCTCTAACGTAGTATTTTTAAAAAAAAATATTGGTTAAGTATGTTTAAAAAGTATTTAACATTGTTATTAAAAACACTTTTAACTAGATATGATGTATATATATATATTTTAAAAATAGTGATCTATATTGTTCAAAAATACTTTTTATACTAATAAAATACTATAAATTTTATTTTTTAAAAAATGTTTTTAAATCTAGTTTAAAAAATAATTTTTAGCTTAAAAGATATATTTGCTCTTCATTAATTTTGATCATAAGTATGTATTTTTTTATTTAGTTAATGTGATTACAAAGTAATATTTATTCTAAATACTCTTAACTATTTGACAATGAAAGTTCAATCTCCTCTGCTACAGTTGTTTGTGTTCGAACCTGAGACCTCTAAAAATAACGACTATTCTTTTAACCACCGAGATAATTTTATTCATGCAAATATGTATTTATTTTTTTAAAAAAAATACTTTCGAAAAGTAATTTGATTGAGTAATGTTCTTCTAGAAAGGTTAGAAAAGATAATAACACATTAAAATATTATAGAATTCGAATTCTGGATCAGTCACTAATACTTAAGTAGTTTTTTATTAGTTTAAAATGCTTACAAGTTATAGTATATATTTTAAAAATTCTCAATCATTTGATAATAAACGTCTAAGTATCTTATAATCTCTGATACTCGAATTTAAATTTTTTAAGAATAACAATAATTTCTTTAACTATTACCGGTTTTGTTGTTGTGTTAAATAATAAAACCGGTAAAAATTACCGGAAACATTATTAGGCGCTACCGATTTTGTTATTATTGGGTGTTTTTTTTATCGGATTTTCAAAAAAAAATACCGGAAACATTATTAGGCTAAAAAAATGACCGGATTAACATAATATTTTAGGTAATTACCGGAAAATTTTAGGTAATTTTTACCAGTTTTATTATTTAAACGATAACAAAATCGGTAACACCTTATTTTAGCCGTTTTTAAGCCCGCCGCACTGTAGAACTTCCTATCCATATTATATCAAGGAATTAAATATAAATTTAAGATATATACAATGATTAAATTATTTTGGTCATTTTTTTCTATTAGTCTTTATATTATATTAAGTTGTAGATTTAGTTTATATATAGTTGGTTATTGCACGAACCAAGTGACCTCGATGATAAAAGAAATGTTGTTGTTTCTTGACGTTTTAGTTTGAAGTATTATGAATGGCAAGGGTGTAAGTGTTCAATATCAATTAATTGACAGTTATCTTTAAACATATATTGTATTGTATTTACCCCAGATTAATAATATATATATATATATATGGTTATTTTTAAGGATAAATTATAAATTTCACTATTCAACTTTCTTCTCACTTTTATTTTAATCATTAAAAATTAAGAAATATCACTTTACTCACTAAATTTTAAATTTGTTCCTACTTTAATCAATCAAGCATTAAATCCAATATGAACTAGTGTCTTAGGAGCCACATTTGCTAACATTAATTGCTTTGTGCTGACATGACATCAACTTGCCATCCACGTAATTTTTCCTTTTTTATTTATTTCCTTTTCATTTTATCATATTCTTTGAAGGTTAAAATTTTATAATTTTATCCTTATGTCACTCTGGTCCTGAGATCTCTATTTATCTAGTATTTTTTTCTTACCACTCAAGACACCGACGAGTTCACCTAACCATCTCATACAACTCAATCAGTTCAGATTTTCACAAATTCACTTTAAAACTCGTGAAACCTTAAACTACTTAATATATAATTTTCATTATTCGATTAACATCAATTCAAGATGAACAAGATGCCTCCTCCTTTTCTACTTTCCCACCATTGAGCTTTTAAAGAATATGATTTATAATACCCAAATTTTGGTTAGTGACCAAAATGTATTTTTTGAAAGTTTGGTGACCAAAGTATAAAGTTATAAAAGTTTAGGGACCAAAAAGGTAATTTCAAGTTATGTATTCTGACCCGTAAATGAATAGTTCACCCCCAAGAATGACGATTTGGTGAGAATCAGATGATTGATCCGGAATTTGTGTTAAAAGACAAAAAGTGTTAAAGTCCGGAAATTAATGTTAGAGTGTTGGAATTGACGCTAGAGTGTGAAATTGGGCCATTTTGGAAAGTTGGTAAAAGTTGAGGATCAAATCACAAATATGGAAAAGTTGGGAATTTAAGTAAAAATGTTATCTGAAGTTTGGATAAATTTGGATAAAAAGGAACTTGAATGGTCAATTAGAAGTGTTAAAGTCAACATTTATGTCATGACATGAAATTTGTATCGAATGAGCATCGGAAGATTTTTTATGAATTTATTTTCTAATGTGTGTATATGTTAGTAAGATTTTAATATGTGGTTTAAATTGTATATGTTTTGTAAATAGTGTTCATTTAGATTATGATTGAAATCAAGATCAAACAATATTAAAGCTAAAGAGAAACTTAAGGATGTAATGTGAATTTCTAAGGAAGGTTGTAAGCTAAGGACACCATGTGAGTGCATATTTAATTTGTACTTATGTTATCGAATAAACATTGTCTTACAATGAGCTAGTGACGGAGCTATTATGGTAAGAAGTGACTCCTAATATTGTGTGACTTTGTGATTCATGCATAAATGTTCATTTGGTAAGCTAATAGAATTATGGAATAAGCTAAGGATGCAAATTAGTGAATAAGCTGAAAATGCATATTGGTGAAATCTTCCTAGATTTGTGATCTAAACAATAAGTTTATAAAACCACCATAAATTCTAAAACAATTATTAGAGGATTATTTTTATACCATTGGATTTGTATATCAGTCTAGTTTTGTTTAAGATAAACGAAT